ACACACACACACACACACACACACACACACACACACACACACACACACACATGCACGCCACAGGAACACTTTCATTCTCCACAGTGAACCACGCGGAGCTCAAATACAATAAATTAAAATTAAAATGAATTCAATTAAATCCGGAAAAAAAGGGACTCTACGCTGCGTAAAAAAGCCTCATCAGCCGGGCGCACATCTGGATCACACGCCTCTGGCCAGCTGGTCAACACACACACATGCACACACATGCACGCACACGCACGACCAGATGAGCCCCCCCCCCCCCAATTGATCCGCTAATTACGCGCTCCCTCCGCTCCTCTGTAGCGGAACTCGTATTAATAGTAATAGTAAAGAAAGGGTCCGGTGACGCCTTCACTGACGCATCGGATTTTCCATTAACTCCGTGCCGCGAAAGGCAGCGCGCGCGACACAGATGACCAGGAACGCTCCTTTAACTTCACAGAGGAGAAGCGTCCATTGTGCACCCAAAAATAAAAAAATAAAATAAAAATAAAAACAGAAAGTTTGGAGCATCATGCAAGACAAAAACGCACTCACCCCTATAATGTTCTCACACACACACACACGTGCACGCGCGCGCACTCTTTACCTTCATCTCCTCGTTGATTTCCCGCTTCACCGGGTGAGCTGGTTTGCGGCTCCTCTTATTTTCCGGAGGTCTGCCCTCTTTTTCCGTCTCTGCCATATTTTCTCTGCGATACTTCTGTCAATATTTGCGGTGAGGAGGGGAGAGGTGCGCGTGTGTGAGACAGAAAGAGAGAGAGAGGAGAGAGAGAGAGAGAGAGAGATGCAGCTGTTTACAGCCGCCACACAGCGGGGGTCTCGGAGCTTTTCAGCGGCCCGTGTGACGCCGGTGATGCCGCCCAGGGCTCGCGGTGCCCGGCCAAGTCAGCCATCTTCTGCCCCCCACCTCACCCCTCCGTCTCCTCCGCGGTCCGCGCGCCAGTAAGTGAGCAGCAGCCTCCTCCGCGAGTCAAAGGAGAGGTTGAGTGAGGGGAGAGAACGAGACGGGGGGGAGGGGCGTCCTCTGAAACATTATATGACGCGGTGGTGATCAGAGGAGTTCTCGGTTTCCCGTGGAGCGCAGACCTGCAAACAGGTGCTGCTGCTGCTGCTGCTGCTGCTGCTGGCTGCTACTGCTGCTGCTGCTGCTGCTGCTGCTGGCTGCTGCTACTGCTGCTGCTGCAGATTTATAAGTCTGTCTCAGAGTTTATCCTCGTAGGAAATATTTACTTTTATACTTTGATTTGTAGATTCAGGTGATTTGTTTCACATTTAAATTGCAAGTTACCAGCGGTGGGCACATTTCCCCCTAAAGCAGTGTTTCCCAAAGTTGGGGTCGGGACCCAAAGTGGGGTCCCGAAAAATCAAGGTGGGGTCCTGAAAAGATTTTTGGAATTAATGACATTTTTTGCCTTAGTTGTTACAAAGGAGTGAGGTTAGTGTATTTAAAATGGATAAATGTAGTATAAAAATATTGTTACTATTACTATTGTTTAGTTGACCTGATACAAATGTTTATCATTCAAAACTAGCTGGGGGCACAGGTCTCTGCTACTGTTATTTTGTGGGTCAAAAGCTGAAAAGTTTGGGAACCACTGCACTTTGGAATGGGTCATGAAGCACCTTGGATAATCTCCAGAAATCAATTTAAAGGGTAATAAAATAATTGCTGATGTAATATTTTCCCTATAACTATTACAAAAACACAAAATAAGTATAAATAAGTGTTTATATTTGTGTACAAGCTGTTTAGATCGTCAAAAAGCCTGTGTTTTTAGGGTTATTAACAAAGTTTGTGTACTCAGACCAGTAATATTTGGGGTCACAAATTTTTGCCTTGGATATTTTGTGGGTCAGAAGATAAAAAGTTTGGGAACCACTGCCCTAAAGCACTAATAGAGGAACTAATTTATTGGTTAGTGCTTTTGCTCATTTTAGAATTTTATTAGCACTTGCTAAATTTATGGGCTGAATTTAGAGACACTAACTGAGGTCTTTAAATGTTTTTTTATTGATCAACATCAGGGTGAAACACATTTTGTTCATATGTGTCACTTGAATAATGTTCATGGGTTGACCGGGTTATTTTATGCTTTAGAATTAGCTTTCGCTAATTTTTTTCAGTGCGTTAGCGCTTTATGGACCTAAATATTTGAGATAGTGCTTTAGAGCTAGTGGAACTAATTTTTAGATTAGTGCTGCCCACTGCAAATTACATAAAACCAATGGTAGGCACAATTTAAACACTAAACAAGAATCTTAGACCAGTTAATGCTGATACAAAACAGGAAAAATGATGACTGCAAAATGACTGTCACTGGCTGTCACAACTTGTTGTTAGTTTTCTATTGGTTTAATTTGAAGATGGGTGGGATCATCTGTGGCAAACTGGCCATTCCACACCAGCGTTATATCTGTCTCAGTTTAGCCCTTTCAGAATAAAAGCATTTTTTGATCATGTTGGTTTTTTTTATAAATACTATTTGAAGTTAGTCAAACAACAAATAGAAAATACTTTCTCAGTTTTATACATCGATTTTTGCCTTTTTATATAAATATTGTTATTTTTTAAATTGTTTTTGATGCTTTTAGTTTGAAGTTTAGCTGCTACATGCTACACTGTGTTCAGAACTGCTTTTAAGATGGGATAGTTTTTATTTAATTCGAGGTAAATGGCATAAAATAGAAGTTTACATTTGTGACTTTTTTGTGGACCTAATGGTTTTCCAAGTTAGCAAAAAAAAATGGGATGCATTTAACATTAAATGTCTTATCAGAACTGTCACAGTTGTGGAGGAATTGGACCAAGGCATGCAGGCAGACTAAAGAGAATTAAAACCTTATTTAACCTCTCTAAAAAAAAAAAAGTAAAGCAATTTACACATTTCACTTTAAAGACAATGTGTAAATTACATTTACTCATCTTGGTTTTCTGAAACCAGTCGACATAATTTAACATAACTTACCTAATTTCCCTCTGGGATCAAAACAGTATTTTTCAATGGAATTGAATTGAACTTGGTTAAGTAAATTCAACACTTATTTTTAGAGTGCTAATGACATAGCAGCAAACTCACAAAACCAACTGCAGAAGAACCAAACCTGCCCTGAGGAATGCATAATGCTGAACAACTAAAGGAACTGGGGTTGATGGGAGAAGTGGAYGTGGTGGCTGAAACTGGGAGCAGGTGTAGGTGGGCGCAGTTTGGATAATAATCATCCATTCAGGTGTTAAATTGTGTACATTCATTAAAAAACAAATATGCATGCTTGGTTTCAGATTTATATTTAAACCTACAATAGCTGAATAAGTGCAAACAATAAATCAGTGGCTGTTTTTAAATAGCAGCAGGTTGTTTGATTTACAACAAACAATAAAGCCAATGCTTTTCTAAGATAATATCACTAATGTCATGATTCTGTGTACAAATAAAAAAATGGTAGTTTGGTTTAATTATTATTTATTTTAATTCTCATTTATTATGTAAACAGTTTGTAATTCAGCGAAACTAAATAAATAAAAAGGTGTAATGGTTGGTTTTGTTACTTAAGACTGACAATAAAAACAAACAGTAAAAATAGATCTGCCTGATTTATGACTCAGTTTTACAGTGTTCATTTTTGTTTAATCAAAAATAATGATTCAAGAAAACAACTTAATGATATTTAAGGTTCATTTTTGTTCAGTCATAAGCCACTCTGTGTTATAGACTTCTTGTTTGTTGGAATTTGGAGAAAAAATCTGACAATATTCTCTATTTTAATTTAGCTAGCTAGCTAACTGTAGCTTGCTAGTGGCTACGTTAATTTRTACAAACAATATTTTTACTTACATCACAAATGTTCATATTCCGACACTGTGTTACTGAAACAGGAAACATTTTCATATCTAAATTTAAAAAAAAAAAACTATTTTAAAATTCGTGTTTCCGTCGGAAGTGAAACGGCTTGACGTAGGTTGTTACGTTTTTAAAAATGGCGGCGCCCTGTGTCGGGTTTTGTACAACCTGTAGTTGACATCGTTCAAATGTCATGTGTTTTAACGTAACGCGGGTTAGTTTTTGTGTGGCAGCGAGCGCGATGTGTTGACTCGTTTTTTTTTAAACGCGACGTCCCGTTGAGGTGTTTCAAAGGTCGAGGAGGAAAAGGAAATCAAACATGTTTTCAGCTTCGTGGTCGCGCCTGTCCCGTTTGTCTGCGTCGACCACCCGAGGAGGAGGAGGAGGAGGACGGAGAAGTCTGAGTTTGTTCTCCAGCTCCGAGTCCTCCAGCTGGAGCAAGGTGGTGTCGGATGCGGAGAAGATCGTGGGTTATCCGACCTCCTTTATGAGTCTGCGGTGTCTGCTCAGTGACGAGCTCAGCAATGTGGCCATGCACGTCCGCAAGCTGGCCGGGACCCAGCATCCCTTACTCAACACTGCCAGGTAACAACCATAAAGCTTGAAATGTGTCCTTTTATCTTTAGAACGCACACCATGACCGGGTTTTACTTTACTGTTTACCAACAAAGCCTCAATAATGTATATAAACACTTGTAAATCATAGGTTCTTCTCATGGCGCTTGTCATGACGTCACTTTTAAGCGCCAAACACAAAAAGGCAACAACAGATGACACATTCCAGACAGTTAAAACTAAAAAACATACAAAGATAACAWTATTTGACAAACATACACGTTTTTGTTCATACAAGAGCTACCAGCCGAAAGCTTGGCATTACAGTTTAGCTGATTATGTCTTTAGAAATAATCTTTTTGGTGTTAAAATCCTATTATCTSTTTGTCACTTTGTGTGATTTGGAGTAATTCATAACTGCAACTAAATAAGTGGGAACAAACTGCCTTTGTGTCACGCTGCTTGGTAGAGATGAAATATAGGATTAAATCAGCCGAGTGCTTTATGAAAATAGCTGCTAGGCTGCTCTTGTTGCATGTTTATATCTGTTCTGTCACACAGGTCAGGATTACGGTTGCGTTTGACCCCACCTGCAGATCTGTTCGTGCTATCCTCTTTCATCTCACTGTCTCTCCGTCAGGACAAACAACAGCTCAACACAAATCGATAGCTTATTTGTTTGTTTTCTTTTTAGTACAATTTTAGCAGCTGCCGTTCGAACGCAAACAATTTTTATGCACTTCTGGTCTCGAGACTTTAGTTCGGGATTATTTAAATGGATTGCCAACGTGGACGGAGGGTTTTAAGGATTTGAAGTATTTTATCTTGGAGGAGGAGATTTGGTTTGAAAATGTAATGAGCTTGAGAGGGACATCAGATTATCGGAGGTTCAAGCTCGGATTAGGATATTGGTTTAGTCCAGTAATGTGTCACTGTTAACTATCTTTAAGTGTTTGTTAACTTTAACAAATTATTAATGTAGCTGTCATTTGTGAGTTGATGATTTAATTATGAAGCTGGTTTAGTTACTGTTTGTAAAATAAACAAAACAGAAGGAATAAAAAGAGAAGCATCTATCTATCTATCTATCTATCTATCTATCTATCTATCTATCTATCTATCTATCTATCTATCTATTCAACTTAAATGTAGGATTGTCTAATTATGCAGTACTGTACAAATGTTTTGAACAAAACTTTGTTTTTTATTCACATTTTCCTTCCAAGGATCCCGACTTTCTTCTAATCTTTCACATTTCTCCAGGTTTTCTATAAGTTTTTCAGTTTGTCTTTGAACTTTAACTTCTTTTTTCCCTTGTTTTATGTCCGTTTTTGTAAAAGACAATTATTGTAAAATAAGAAAAAGGACAAAAAWGATCTTTATCCGATGTACAAATTCATGTTTTTAAGAAACAAGGGGGAAAATCCATCAAATATTGACTACAAAACTTGGGAGACGCATCATTTTTCAGCCGATGTCATATTTTTCTGCAGGTTAAACTGTGTTTCTGACCAGAACTGATTCAGAACTCATCATTTGACCAGTTAAGTGCATTGACCAGTTTGATTCATCTTCAAGACTCCATTTTTGTTCAAGTTGTTTTAAAGTTCCCAAAAGGAAAACATTAAGTCTTCGGTTTCATTTTCAGAAAAGATTATTTCGTGTTTCTGTAGCTTTTATTGGTTTCAGCTTCCAAAATGTCACCGGAATCCGACAGAGTTGTCGGAGCGTTCTCGTGTTTCGTCAAAATAAATCACAAACTTTGAGAACCAAAGTGAGAGAACTGGAAGTCAGAGTCCTCGAACCGATCCTGTCGTGTGGACGAGAATGGAAAGAGGAACCCAAGGGTGTAATAACCTATACGCCTAAATCTGATATGACAATCCATTTGGGTGTTGTGGCAGTGGGGGCTGCAGACCTCTCGACGGACGATCTGAGTCCTCGCTGTCAGCTCAGGTTGGCTGGTTCGGATTTCCCTCCGTGTCTCGGCCTCAGAGACGCACCGGCAGATAAAAATATCCACAATAGCAGACAGGCAGACCCTCGTGGAGTCCGGTTTCAGTTCTTCTTCTCCTTTCATTCTCAAAAAACTGCTGCTCAGCTAACTTTGCCCCCAAAGTGTGGAGTTACAAAAGAGGAAACTTTTTTTCCCCTTAAAGATAGTCCTTGAGAGTCGAGAATCTACTTCTGCTGGTTTGAACTTCTTTTTTATCAAATTATTTTATCAATAAGGAGGTGTAATTTGTTTTAATCTCAACTTCAGACAAGAGTGGAGCTTTAAAAACTGGAATAAAGAGTAGACAAATCTGACTAAATAATCCCAGTTTGAGGCCAAAGTCAAAAAGAACTGAGGAAACAAACCCACAAAGCAGAGAGGTGCAGGTCAGACCTGGTGTCAAGCTGGCACTGCTGGCGTGGCACGTGGTTTGGCAACCGGATGTGGGCCAGGTCTGGCAATGATGGCACTGTTTTTAAGATGGCATGCCACAACTGGCCTGGTTGTGGTTTGGCTTATGTGGCCCAAATTTATCATTGCCACAACTGGCCCAGTTGTAGTTTCGCTTATGTGGCCCAAACTTGTCAGTGCCAAACCTGGCCCAGTTGTAGTTTGGTTTATGTGGCCCAAATATGTTATTGCCACAACTGGCCCAGTTGTAATTTGGCTTATGTAACCCAAATTTGTCAGTGCCAAACCTAGCCCAGCGGTGTTTTGGTGTATGTTGCCCAAATCTGTCAGTGCCACAAATATGGTACTGGTACTGAATGGTACTGAACTTATAGAGCGCTTTTCAAGTCCCTCCGGACCCCCAAAGCGCTTTACACTAACAGACATTCACCCATTCACACTCACATTCACACACTGATGATGGCAAACTACACTGTAGCCACAGCTGCCCTGGGGCACACTGACAGAGGTGTAACCTAACCATAGTTAGGTTATGGTTTGGAGTATGTGGCCTAAATCTGTCAGTGCCAAACCTGACCCAGTTGTAGTTTGGCTTATGTGGCCCAAATTTGTCAGTGCCACAACTGGCCCAGTTGTAGTTTGGTTTATGTGGGCTAAATTTGTCAATGCCACAACTGGCCCTGTGGTGGTTTAGTTTATTTGGCCTAAGTCTGTCAATCCCACAGCTAACCTAGTTTTGGTTTATGTGTGCCAGATCTGTCAATTTACCTGAATCTGTCAATACCACAACTGGCCCTGTTGTGATTTATTTGACCCAAAATTTTCAGTGCCATAACTGGCCTTGTTGTGGTTTGCTCTATGTGGCCCCAATTTGGTAATGCCACAATTGGCCCAGTTGTAGTTTGTATTATGTGGCCCAAATCTGTCAATGCCATAACTGGCCCGGTTRTAATTTATTTGACCCAAAATTTTCAATGTCATAACTGGCCTTGTTGTGTTTTATTCTATGTGACCCCAATTTGGTAATGCCACAACTGGCCCTGTATATAATCCAGGCCCAGTTGTTGCTTGGTTTATATGGTGCTGGCCCATGCATGTCTGGGCTGAGTGTTGTATTTTGTGGGCCAGAACTTTCCCAGACACGTTTTGCTACATGGAGAGAAATCTGTACAAAGATTTGTCAACAAATAAAGAAGTTGTTTGTGCAATAACTTAAAAATACATATATTTGTTGTTTCTCTGGTGTAAAGTTTCAATTCTCCCTTCAAAAATCAAATTAAATTCTTTATTTAAATATCCAAATTTCTGTAAACAGTTTTGTTAAAGGTGAGCTTTCAGAACCTCAGGTGTTTTTTGTTGCGTTACTGCAGTATTTAAATAAATACAGTATTTTTATCCTGAAAACTGTAAGAAAAACATTTGGTCGATATTCCGAACGCATGGTTTTTAACTTGTGTCGGCTGAGTGCAGCAGAGGTGTTTTTTTTTTTTTTTTTTTTTTTTCAGAAGTTTTGCTCATTTATTCATTCATAACTTAGAAAAAGGTGTCGGATCGATGGACGTGAGGCTGAACATCTGCATGCGTTAACTGCAGCTCTGATATCCTGAACTCCTGTGATTGCAGAGCAGAGGGCGTGGTGACCCGTTCACAACCCTTAAAGAAATGACAGCAGCATATTTCTCTCCTCCTGCTGTGGTCCCCCTCGCCATCCCTTTTCTCCATGCCCCCCCCCCTTTTTTTTTTTTGTTTTGTGCTGGAGGGTGACTGTGACTGATTGATGTGTGCCGCTGTGCTCGGTGACATAAATATTAATCACAAGGCTCACCTGGACCATCCCAGGAACACCACAGATCCTGTCTTTTTTTCTTTTTTTTTCCCGCTCTCTGCTGGTTCTGCAGGTCTCTCCAACAACTATTTTCCCATTGAGTGAAAATTTTACAGTGACTATAAATATTTCTCATGAGCTGTAATGAAAGAGACCGACAAAACGTCAGCCGGATTGTAAATTTCATTTGTTTTATGTGACAAGTTTGGGGTTTTTTCTTCAGAAACAAAGCTTTTTGTCATTTTGTTTTCAAGAAACACCGCTAAAGTGTTCGAGTTTTAGTTTAAATAAAAATATCTAATGTAAACCTTCCACCTTCTACCTTTTAATTTTGTTATTAAAGCTTAAAACTATATTTCTATTTAATGATGATAATGAAAGCAGTGTTGTGTGTGATCTCTGGATGTACTCGTTTTGAAGCTTCAGCTCCAGAATGATTTTTGTTTTTTCTCGATCATCTTTTTGTGAATTTCCATTTCCTCCTCCTCCTCCTCTTCACATCCAGGCTCTGTGTCTGGTTCCTCCACCCCCTACTTGCTGTGCAGGGGTGGGTCAGAGAGGGGTGGCGGCGGTGGGGTGTTGAGGCCCACGTCTGGGCATCGAGCGGAGGAGAGAAGGGGGGGTATGGGGGGGGCGTGACCGCTTGTCTCCTCCGGAGCTCCTAACGAGACCGTGATTCATGGCGCGAGGGACTCACATCGGGACGGGATTAGAGGTGCTGTGTCTAACTGCTCCCCAGAGAGAGGAAAGAGATATTTAATCTGCCCACCATCCAAGCTGCGGCTACCACAGGGCGCTGCCTGCACGCTCTCTCACAAGGTGGGAATACCCCCACCACCACCACCTTTACCCCCCACCTCCTCTAAAAACCACAGTCCTGCAGCAAAACAGATCAAATATCAGGGCTGCGTATTGTCGAGGTTTTGGTGGTGTGATACAAATCACAACACGGGGGTCACGATATATTGCGATACAGAAAGCAAGGCGATATACTGTATTGCCATTTTTTTATTATCTCTCCAAATATGTTCAGATTTCTCCTGCCTTACTGTCAATAAAAATCCCAATGCTGAAGGGTCTGTGTACCTTTTTTTTTTTTTTGGTTGGATTTTTTGTTTTAAAAAACAGATATTGAAAAAAAAAAAACCTCCGGAGCCCGTCCGGTGACTTGGAATAAATTTTTTTTCACGTGGCCACGAGATAATGCATGCCCACGCAACTAGTTAAAGACAAAACAATACAGGATATATATATA